AGTTTTACATTTTGGATATCGTGCACGAGCCTTCGACCACCCGCTCCAGCAAACATGAAGGTGCTCATCTTCGCGGCGTGAAAACGAGGAAGGCAACGCAAAGAGGGAGAGGGCACCTGAACACACCCCGATGAGAGAGGGGAGGGGGGAGAGGGTGCTGCAGGATATCAACCCCAGGAACTTTGAGGGACTGGGGTTGGCGACCGGGCCGCGCAGGGAGGGGCGCCAGCGGGCTGGGCGGGGCGCACGGGCCGGGGTGGGACGGGGGATGCCATGGGAACGCGATGATGGTATCCTTGCCTAAGACTCAGTGCACACCTACTCCAAAAGTGTATTTAAGCATTGGTGAACAACTAGAGATTTCATGCCCTTCGGCTTGCATGACCATAGTATATTCCACTTTTCATGTATGGGAACATGCCCATTCACCAGGAAAAAATGCTGTAAATTGACACGTTCAGCGTGTGTCCATGACCACTATGTGATCGCGTTTACGTCTCATTTCTCCTTTTTTCATACATGTCTGTTTGTTTCCCAACACATCTTTTACAAATGAACGCATTTTGGCTATTTCTTCATAAAAAAAACATCGACTGCACACGCAAAATTGCTATATTTATTGTTAGATCAATGCTATTGTTGAAGTAAGTCATATCGTCGAAAAAACGCTGAAACGAAACAAGCTTGGTGTTTAGGCTGACAGAACTCAACATGTTTGATGAAAGACCACTGTAAACGTCGAAGGCATGTTTCTCGTTCGCCTTCAGTGACGTCACAGTAAACTTGTTGGCGTTCGTCCTCTGAGAACAAACATTAGCGTCTTGAAAGCCAAGATATGGCGTCCTTCAAAGAAGGCCAATAGTTTTGCAGACGCCAACCAGTAGTGTACAGGACTGTTTCTCCATCGCCCAAGCGACGTGATATCTGTACCGCTTATTAAGATTGACATGACTACATCGTGCCACAAAAACAGGAAAACGATTGAATTGAGTCATCTCGGTCAAGTCATATAAATAAGTCTGAGTAATGCGAACTCCCATTGAATGACTAAGGAACGATATCATTCAATATCGCTCTCCCAGGAGTGGTATAATTGGGTGCACGATATGGCTCCTCGTCTCGTATCGCTCTTCCAGTAGCGAGATTCCTCACTTCTGCAGTTTCTCCTTACATGAAGGTATGCACGAGGTGGTATGTACTTGGTCAAGTACTCACTAAATCCATAAATGCATACATGTGGGTATGCAGGAGGTACTGCATTCAAGTAAACGTTTGGGTTTCCAGAGTAGAAGTCGTCAATGTGCCAATTCGTTGAACCCCTCGGTACAAACACACAAAATTCTAAATGCCATTTCGTGCGTTGTAAACACTGTGTAGCAGATGCGACATTCGTTGTCAACACTGATGTGACTTAACTGATGTGTTAATTAACACATCAGGTATCTAATTCGGCCCGCCGACACACTGCACCGCAAGCACTCTTGGGGAACCTCTAGGAAGTATGCCCGTCATTCTGGAGATAGCGACATTGCCCAGTTAAGCGTGAGCAAGTTCTCAAAGTACCTGATGGGTAGGCAATGGCAATGTCTTGCCAACAGCGCATGCGTGTGCTGCGGGGTGGCCTACCCTGAATCTCTTGGGGAAGACGTTGTATCAAACGCTCAGCAAAGGTGCTCAATCCAAGCTCAAATTGGAACCAAACGAGAACACGGGCTTCATGTCAAGCGCAAGGGCAGCATGGGTGAAGGTTTCAGAACATATCGGGGTTGTTTCAAGCCAACGTCAGCAAGAATACGGTACTTGTGCCAATCAAGTATATTGCACTTCATTTTAAGTACAATGCGCTTCATCACGGAAAAAAGAATTTGTTCCCACAACTAACGATTTTGTTAATATAGACATAACAGATAATTTTTAGTTGCAGGAACAAACAAATTACTATGGGAACCGAAATTCTGCTGCCACAACTCCAGAACTAACGTGCCGCAATGGTAACAAATGCAACTGTTCTGGTTACTAAACGAGGACTTTTTCTTACAACAGACGCATTTGTTTCGATAGTTGTGGCAGCAAAATTTTGCTTCCCATTGCAAATTGTTTGCTCCTGCAGCTAAAATTGTTTGTTATGTCTATGTTAACAAAATCGTTAGTTGTGCGACCAAATTCTTTTTTTCCGTGATCCAAGAACACGATTTTCTGGGTGTGAACATGATTGTACATTACGGTGATGCTTTCATGCCTGTTGCCACACTGGTATACAGTTACTTACAGTGACTTTCACCGTAGCTCCAGGTGAAAGTTCACCGCCATCGCTACAAACTGCAGGGTTGCAGGGTTTACTTTTCTACAGTATAAAACTTCCGTTGAGGTAACGTGAGGGGACGTTATAGAAAACGTGGACTAGAGGTTGAGCTTGCCCGTGCCCGTGTCCTCCAGCGTTGGGGGCTGGGCTAGGCGCTAGGGGTCAGGGCGGGCCGTCGGCTTCACACGGCTGTTGGGCGGGTTGGCCTACCCAACGCATGGCAGGCGCTAAGGCGCCCGCCGCCTTCTCGCCACGCTTCGCCTCGGGGGAGACGGAGTGGAGGAGTGGGGGGGACAGGCTTGTTTTAGGCCTCTCTGTCTTCCCCCTTCGGTTTTGTTGGTTAAAATGAAGAGTCGGATTTTCGTTCAATATGTGAGTGCGAGGGCACCTGAAAAAAGGCAACAGTTTTTCTTTGTGTTTGTTTTGTTTTTAAGTAAAATGTTCACTTAAATACAACAGGCACTACGCATTACGCGCATGCAATTCGAATTCTCGGCATCAATGCGTGTTTAACCCGCCATAATGGTGGGACTATTCTAACGCTTTTTTATGTGCATCTTCGCACTGGCGCTACTAGGGTTGGCTCTCCGAACTCGAACGACGCTTCGGCAGCTTGTGGTTTTCTTATGCGGATACGACCCAGTTCCAAGTACTAGTTGGGGTCTGTGGTTGTTTTTTTCTTTTATTTTTGTTTCTTTTCGCTAGTAGTGAGCCCCGGCCTTCAATAGCTCCTTACCTGAAATAATACACACGTTACTGACCAAGGACAAACATTTGTCACGGTGACAACACCTGACAAGTGACAAATTCAGTCATCTTCGTCCGACAGAAATGACGTCATGAGGACGTCACACGATGTCAGTAACGTTATTTAATTCTGTCTAGATATGGTTCAATTTTACCGGGCATTATTCTTCATATCATCTCGACAAATTTTCGTACCCGGGGTCAAGGGAATTCCACAGACTTGATTCTGCTCTGTCATTTGTCACATTCTCCCACGAACAAAGCAATCCTTATGGCCTGGTAAGTTTATTTTCGCCGCGGAATTGTCGCTTGCCTGATGTAACAGCAAAATGACTACTCGTCTCGAGACAGTTATCTTTATTTCCTTCCGGTGGTAGTGCGAGGTCTTTGGCGTCTTGACGTTGACCCAGCATACTGAAAGAGGCAAACCGAAGAGTGTCGTCTATCGGCCAAACCTAGGCCCCTACAGGGAATATATCTCTAGGGGTTGACCGCAGTCACCAACAATCAACAGCAGTGGGAGCCGGCGGCCGGCGCAGTCTCCGTGGTGACGGCATTGCGGCAGCGTCGAGGCAGCTTCACGCTTCGCGTCCGGAATCGTTCTTGTGACTTGTGGCCCCACGCAGCTCCGACTCCGTAAGCGCTCCGTGCACGTCAAACATCCTTCGTCACCCGCAGCAACAGTGATGAGTGACACCGTGACAGTAAGCTCCGAAACCTGTGTAAACCCCATCGAAAATGTACAAGGATCAGAGATGTGTACTGTAGAAATGTAGACTGCGTAACAATTATTATCACTTCCTCTTCTGTCGTCATAATTATGTGGTACGTTGGTAAAATTGTAATGAGTCGACATGTCGACTATTGAGCGGGCGTCGCCACAGTGCGTTTACCGTTTACCCTATGGTGGGACTCACGCACTCACTGTTCAAGCATTCACAACAATGACTCTGGTCATATTTTTTTTTCTGCGGGAGCCTTCGTGAAATCTTTCTCGTTTTGCCAACGATGACCCGGCGAGGCGTAGCGCGGC